TGACGCCAAACGTTTGAACTTTAGGGTTTTATTCTATTGGGTAAGTGTAATTCTGGTTTATTTTTGACCATTGTAGATTTTATAATGACCATCTGCCAGTTATCCCTTACATATCTGAAATAATCTTACAATGGAGGCTTGGGAATAATTGGGAAATTCACTTTTTACCTTTGGTATTTTTTTTACTTGTACCTGTCAGTGTTGCCATTATTTGCTGTAAGTGACACATTTCAGAGTGGATAAATGAACTGGTCTGGCTTGGGACAGTTGTCAGAATCAGCTGGAAAACATGAATTCATGCTACAAAGAGTTTATCTTTCTTGCTGTATGAATCTTATGAATATATTAAACTAACATAACAAATATACATGTTGTTTTTAACTTGTACTTTTAAGAAGTTATTCCTCAAATCATCCTGCAGGACACATTGGACTCCTCCACATGCCGTGACTTTGATACCCCCGATCTAGATGGTCTTAAAGCTGTGCAACCGCCATGTTTTGTTTTGAACTTTAGCTGAATATTCACGATAATGTAGCTTGCTAGACTGTCAGAATAGAAGACCGCAAACGTTTTCAAATTTATATCACTATATCAGAGAAGTCAGAAAGTAATTGGTCATTGGTCACGGAGGTCTTAGATAGTATTACTGCAACCAGAAATGTGGAAGTGTCACATGTCCAGTTAGTGAATACAGATTCATCTCGCCCACAAGCTCACACACACACACACACACACACACACTTCTAAAGCCTTTTTTCTTAATATTATGGCTAGGCAAGGTCACCATGGCTGCCATAGACAGTACTGCCTGCAATCAGTAACGTCTTATAGGAGTGGATAAATAGAACTGAGCTTTCCAGGAGCTGGATGTTACCTAATATTAATTAGAGCCAAACAAAAGCATTTAGGCAACATGTATGGTGCTTGTGTGTTTGTATCAGGACCTACGTGACGTTTACATCACAAAGGGCATCATTTGTCAACCCACCGATGAGAAACTCTCCTTCGCCGTCTGTCTATGTGGTCTATTAGTGCAGGAGGGTGGTACCATGCTGCTTTTCTCTTGACCGATACGTGTGTCCACGCAACTTTGATCCCAGCTTCGCTCCGGCGCATCACATTATACACAATCCCTCGCTTGTAGATGCACTAAAATCAAAGTTAAGGAGTCCTAGGGCAAATGTTTGAATTCTGCATGACCTCAAACAGAGAGGGGAGCTCAGAGGTGTCAGAGATGAATGTGCTTTCTTTCAAAAGTGAATAGATTCTGTTTATATTTTGTCTGCTTCACACTATAAAAATATGTTTAATTGGCCTATGTGTATACTCTGTCCTTTTATTCATATTTAAACATACGTATACTTAATGGTGCTGCCCCTACATAGCAATATGATTATAACATACATATACTCCAGCATGATATACAGTTTTCTAGATTAAATTCTGATTCACAAGTTTAATTCAATTTGATCCCAATTTTGATTTTTGATTCTGATTCTCAAGCTCTCTATTTGAAAGGATTTGATTACAGGCTCTTTTTGTTATTATTTTTATTATTTATTCATTATCCTAAGCTCTTGATTCGATTAGACTCTTAATTTTGATTTGGTTCTGATTCTCAAGGTCTTAATTTTTATAAGATTATTTGGTTTGAGTCATTTACTAGCTCTCATTGTTATCAATCAATTTTTTTATTTGATTCTGATTCTTAAGCTAATGATTCGATTAGATTCCAAGTCCTAATTGAATCTTATTCAAATTCTGATTCTCAAGATCTCAATTTGGTAAGATTATGATTAATTTACAAGCTATTGATTTCATTAGATTCCAGTTTTGGATGAATTCCTAAGCTCTCGTTGTGGTTGGATTCCAATTCAATCTGATATTTGATTCGTATTGACAAGCTCTTGAATCGATTAGATTACAATTTCCAGTATTCCAATAATCGAACTTGGATTAGGAATTAAATTGAATTCATTCACACGCTCTTGATTTAGAATAGTTTCCAATTTGTTCCAGTTCATTTGAATAGATTTCAGTTATAATGTCCATTTTGTTCTGTAAGAAATTCTCTGTTATTCCTGTAAATTTTCACATTCCCCCTTCCTCTTGATTTAAACTTGTAACAAATCCTTTTTTTTATCTTTTCATTAAAAGAACTGGCTCATAAGAGTCGTTTGTTTCAGGAGTCATGCTCAACTGGTTACAATCGAAAAGCACTGCTGAAAATTGCTGTGTAAAAAAATATTTTTCACAGTCAATATCAGGGTTGTTCAAATGAAAATCACAACCCATCTGCACCCACCCATCTGCAAATGTGCATATGTATACCTTTAAAAAGTTTTTACTGTATATATAAATAGAGATTTACTCTCTTACTTTATACAGGGTCCAAAGAATTAATACTGGGCAAGCGGCAGCACCTGATAATGTTCTACCTTTAGACTGAAGCTACGAGCAGAATACAAATGCATCAGAGAGATAAAGAGGTTCCAGCACAAACAATAGCCTGCATAGAGTCCTGCACATTCACTGTCCAGACACTCCCTGTGTATGTGCGTGTGGGAGGGGGGAGAGCCTCTCTCTGCCCTCTGGTCATGAAGGGTCCGCCCAAGCGTGCCTAATTAATAAAGACGAGCAAACACATGCATGATCATTTAGATCTGTAGTACGTGACACATGTCCAGAGTGCGGCAGAGTCTTATGTGTACACAATCATCTCTGCACTTGAGCATGCATGACCCCGCGGTGTATGTGTGCGCTTCACAATGGGAACACACACAGTCACACACACACACACACACACACACACACACACAGAGTGATTCAGTCACGTTATAGACTGACTGTTGGGCTCCCGTGTGGTATGTTGTGCTTTTGTCCGGAGGGGAGAACAGGAAGTTAATGGCTGACTAAGAATGCAGCAGTAGAGATTGGCTCATCTGGTGCTTCAATGTCACCGCTGGTTTAAACCGTTTATTGGGTTAACCGTGTGTTAAAATCAAACATGCATACTACACTATTTTATATAGTTTTTTTTTTACCTGTACACTTAAGAATGTGTGGTCCTGATGTCTCATCGTGCCATAAGTGATGTTTTAGGAGACAACGCTCTCTGTCTCGTGGACTGAGAGGATGTCTTCCAGGCATTTCTGTCTCTTTAGCAAGACTGTGCTTTTTATCAATCTACTGCACTACAGTTTTCTCTCTCTGTATCCTTCTCTCTCTGTATCCCAAAACAGACTCTCTGTGATTCAAAATTAGATCTGACTACAGAACCGTTTCATAGCAGTTAGAGTACCATGAGCTGATGTATGGAGCTGAGGCGGTCAATTAGCAAGGCACTGACATTAATTTTTGAAACTGGAATTAATTTTCAGTAAATCATTTTTGGCAAATTGGGAAATTCAAATCTGTATTGTGTTCAGGGTGTCTTGTTCTCAGGTTCTAAATTAAACCAGTTGACATAAAAAAAAACCGGTCGTTCTTCGACAACGAGACTTCTCTCAATAGTTCAACTGAACAAATTTATCTCATGTTTTCTCATGTACTGAGATTTTGCTGACATGTTTACCTGTTGTACCGTATTCACTTTGTCAGTAAAATAAGATGCTGAAATGGTGAAAATGCATCATCAGAGAAGTGAGTCTCATTCACTAACCATGCATACACATGAATTTGTCCATGAAATCTGCATATGAACATTTTCACGAGCAAATCATGATTCATCAAGAACTTTTGTATTAATTTATTCTACATTTGTGGGAAAATGCAGGAACAACTGAAACCACATGTACACAAAAATCTGCCACTTGGAGTGTACTTATAAATGTGCTTTATACATAGATATTTCGTTATATCTATGTAGTATATGCTCAAAGACAAAACATGTTTTTGGTTGAAATTTCAGTTTATTACTAGTTCAAATGCAGGAGTTTGAATGCAGCTCCCACCTTTTCTGTGTCATAATTTCCTGTTTTCTCTTTATTCAAATAAGCACAATTGTTTTTAAGTAAAATTAAAATTAGAAAAATAATTTCTATACTGCTAGTGTCACAAAATTAGTTTTTTTTTTCAGTTGATTTACCTGTAGTTGTGTCTGTAATCAACTTTAAAATAATGAAAAACACACATATACACAATGGAAACAGGGAAAAATATATATTTGTCAACTGAAAGCATTGCTGTTGATCCTGTGAAACTCCCCTTCATCAGAGGAAAAAAATCCCCTAATTATAGATCTCGAGTAAGACTTAAGTAGTAATCTGTTGCCAGAAGTATCATCCCATAAGTGGGGAAAGTCGGACCTCTCTCAGTGACCGCTTTGTGACATTGTCAGTGGGAGTTTTGGGAAGCTCCGTTCAGCTACGTGTCTGCACTCAGAAATGACTCTTGTCGTAACAGGCACTGAACGTGAGGTGGGGAGACCCTCTCTACTAGCAGCCCAAGCAAATTTCCTCAGTCAAACCATGAAAGTTACACTGATTTGTATGTAATGATCATGTAATTTATCAATTAAGCCTGGAGAGGCCTTGGTTCTTGAGCACTGTAGTCCACTACCTCAGCACGAGGCAGACTAATGGCTCTGTTAAGTCTGTGGGCGTGTGAGGAGTCATGGTAGATCTCTCACTCTCTCTCACTTGCTCTCAGCTCTTTCGCTGTAAAAGAATAATTAAGTGATTTGCATTGGTCTCAAGCAGGGGAATTTGTACTGATTCCTACAGATAAGGGCTGTCGCGATACCAACATTTCAATATTTGATACCAGTACCAGCAAAATCTCTTGATACAGCTGTGAAATGAACACAATGAATTTCTTTTTATTTAAATGTTAATTTGTTAATATTTCTTAAGTAAGAGTTGCCTCAAGTTATTTAAAATTAAATTAATTTATTATTATTATTATTCTTTTTTAAATCATCTTTGCTCCTGCATTGCTACTATGGATGATTAAAAGCTTTTTATTCACAAATATTCTCTTTCTATGCCGCTGATAGGATGGAGCGGATGTCTGAGGAGGCGTTGAGGCTGAACCTGCTGAAGCGGGGTCTGGAGGCACAAGATGAGCGGGACGAGTCTCTGGCCAAGCGCCTGAAGATGGAGGGTCACGAGGCCATGGAGAGGCTTAAGATGCTTGCCCTCCTTAAACGCAAGGATCTGGTCGCTTTGGAGGGGGCAGCGGTTGCAGCAGCCATGGCAGAGGGCAAAGGCCCCGGGGGCAGCCAGGGGCTGATGGGAGCTGTGGCCTACGAGGAGAAGATGAATGGAAATTTGAGAGTCGGGGGCCATGGAGGTCCCAGTAAGAATGGGAAGGAAAACATAGTGGAGGAGCCAGTGGACATGAGTGCCAGAAGGAGGTGAGGTTTCGGCAAAGGGTTTAACATCTGTTTGTTGAAATGAGTACTGTATTTTATGGAAAATAAATTGCACATGACTATAAGCTTGGTGAAAATAGCATCGTTGAGAGAAAAGTGTTGCATCTGTGCGTAAGTCAGATTTTATTACATTCAGAAATACCGGTAAATAAAACTAAACATTTACAAATATTATACACTCTATAAAATGTATTTTGGTTCCACTTACTTTACAACAAATCCTTTAAATGTAATGTTATTCAGAACCAGTGATATTTTAGTATTATTGATATATTATTGTAGTTTTTATTCATGTTTTAAATCAGTTTTTATTTCTATATCTTAATTTTAATTTTCAGTTTTTAATAATTTGATTGTTTTTGTCATTTTTAGTAGTTTTTATATATAGTTTATTTTTATTTCAGTTTTAGTTATTTTAGTACCTCAGGATAAACTAAATTTAAAGTCCCCATGAAATCAAAATTAAATTTTTCAAAATATATCGGAGCTATTTGAATTCTACACAGAATGCTATATTTTATAGCAATATGGATGAGATTGTGGCTGGCATACCCTGTCAAATGCGGCTTTACGGAGCTCAACGGCTCTGAACGGCTCTAGCCCAAGCTGTGATATAAACGAATGCTATTGGCTATTTTAAAAAGGGGCGGGGCTGCTTGATATGTCCCGCCCTGTCTTCCTGTTTCAGTTAAAATGACGTCAACACATAGAGTAACGCTGCATGATTCTAAGCATTTCAGGGGACCTTTAAATGAAAAATACTGTCTTGGCAGCTAGCTGAAATAACACATTTTTAAAATATTTTATTTTATTTCAGTTAACATTTATTTTATTTCAAGTAACGCAGGGCTCCAGACTGCGACTAAAACGGTCGCATTTCCGTCCAAAAATATTACTTTACGCGTGATATTTTTGCTGAGATCGCCACTGGCGACTATATAAATTTACATGTTATGACTGTAAAATTTGCATGTAATGCCTTTTTTCCTGATTGTTTTGAGATCACATCTTTTATGTTCACGTAATAAACGGAGACGATGCGCATCAAAGTTTTAGTGGAAAAACTGTCCTCATCTCTGCCGAACACCAGCGTTGATGGCACACCTGCTTAAAGCAGCTCCAGTTGTGCAGCACGAGAAAGATCGAAATGATGGAGACGTGCGAAGTAAAAGTGCAGAAAAGCAGTGTCTATTTCGTGCACAACTTGAACAAACTACAACAGGTAAACCTGTCAGCTGTGTACACATTAACAATATCGTTAACGATTCTCGTTTATAATCGATACTAATATGGCTTCTTGTTATCAAGATCTTTAGTCTATATGCTGTGTTCTGTTACTGCGTGAACGTCATATAATTTGTAAGTGCACTTGCCGTCCAATAAACACCATAAGCTTTGTGCTCTGTTACCTTTTAATTAGCAAAGTATCAGTTTTAAAATTCTGCCAAATTCATAACGAAATTCAAACAATAAATACCGTTTTGGCGCTCTTTAATGAGGCATGAGCGATTGCTTTAGCGCCTTAGTTCAAGCGGCATGTGAACCCATCATATCTTTCTCTTTACTACTATACTACGAAATAAACATGAATGGATGCCAAAAAGTATATTATAAGAGAGTCTACAGTACAGCTTACTGAAATGTCTCATGCTCATTCAGTGCTTCAAATGGCGCAAAACGTTTAAAGCTTGTAAACAATGCCACGCAACAATCATTTACCTCAGAATAACCATTCAGTTTCCATAAGCTCATTAGTCAGAAGGGATGTAACGATTCACTCAACTCTCGATTATTTCAGTTTGTTTGTTTGTTTTTTACCGGTTTTTTTTCAGTGTTAGTTAATAAACAACCCTGTTCAGAATATAAGTATAAAACAAACACAAATAATAGTGTCATTCATTATAAACAACCTTTATTTTAAAATGCCAACCAGGACTAAACAAATGTATTTAAAGTGAAACTGAAACTACTGGTGTGAGGGAAATGCGTTATATAAAAAAACTTGGGCTCACGTACCTTGGGATCAGTCGTTTGCTTGCTTGATATTAACTGCGTTGTGTAAGTTGCTTTGGAATGTAAATTGTATGTAAATTGAATGTAAAATATAAATATAAAAAAAAACACTTATATTCTGGGAAGTGGGGTATGTTTTTGCTGTATGGTGTTAAATTAAATTATAATTTAATGATTTTATCCTGCAGGTGTTGCTAGGCCTTGTTTTTCATCTTGATTCCCTTAAAAATTAGTATTTAAAGTGCCCCTAAAAATTCCTCTAATTGTGCTCATCATAGTGAAATAGTTCGGGAGCGACGCACTCCATCGCCAGACGTTATCATTTTATCAGACAACGAGGCGTCCAGCCCCCGGAGCACGCCTCACCCTGAGGAGAAACGGCATCAGGCCAACCTGGAGATGTTTAAGGTGCAGTATCCCATGTTGGAATCAGATCTGTTGTTGGTTACCCACCATTAAACCCTGTGAATGAGTCTCGTAAACCTGTTTGCTGACCTCTTGTGTGTGTGTTTGTTCTGCAGGGGAAGACTGGCGACGAGCGGCAGCAGATGATCAAAGCTCTCCGAGAGGAGCTCAGGCTGGAGGAGGCCAAGCTGGTGCTCCTGAAGAAACTGAGACAGAGTCAGATGCAGAAGGAGAACGTGGTGCAAAAGGTCAGAACCGTACACAATGTCCTGTACCTTCATTACTCTACACTTGATGCCAACTGGGCCAGTAACTCTACACTCTGTCAGTTGGGAATTTTAATTATATTTATTGGATGAACAGGCATGTTAGAGACCTTTTTTGAATTGAGAAAACATCTCAGCCTCATACCTACCATACCGCTGTGCACGTTTAGTGTAGTATACAGTTAGCTCAGTGCAGATCAGGCAGGTAGCAGTTCCTTTAAGAGACCAGAGACATCACGAGCTGGCTTTGATATCACTGTCAAGAAGTTATTTGAATATAAAATACATGGTAGTCAAGTCATGCACAGGATTTTTGTAAATAAAGTCATATTATTTCAGATGGATGGGCAAAGTAAAGTGCATGGAGTAGCTAGCTTCTGGTGTAAACAGCTTAGTTTATTTTTGTTATTTATACATTTTTTTAATGGAAGGGATCTTATTTTGCACTTTTCTGGTGTAAAAACGTACAGGCTTGTTTATTGTCGTCTAGACCAGTGTTTCCCAACCTTTTTTTAGTCGCGGCACCCTTTGGAAATTTTAACAAATTTGTGGCACCCTACAAAATTAATTTTCTCACAATATTTGAATTTCTAACTTCGATATGATACTTTGAAAAGTGTAGATATTCGGTACAGCAGGGAAGAACTGCAGAATATACTGTCATACAGATATTTTTAATATTATTAAAAAAAATTTGTCCATCAATGGTGTTGTCCATCAAATTGTTTTAAATTATACTGAAACTCGGTACAGTATGAGTTTTTGATAGAAGGACTCTGACCTCTCATTTTTCTCTTTTCAGGTGCCGGTGGTCCAGAATGCCCCATCATCAGTGCAGCCGTCACCCATGCACAGCTCTCAGGGGCTCGGGAAACTAACTGTGCGGCCTGGCATGCACTCATCTGAGCCTCAGAGCCTGCGCACTGCACAGGTACAGGGGTTTTATGCCTTTCTAAATATGAGTAAAGTACAGATCGTTTTTTTGTTTTTTCTAAATGCATTATTGAGAATTTTAAGCATAAGCATAAAGCACATGGATACTCCTTATTATGTTGTACACATTAGACTTGAACATGTTAGAGCCTGCTGTTGGTTGCCATGGGAGCAGCACCTTAAGATCAGCATAACTGTATAGATTGGTACCAGTTACCATTTTTAATTACGGTCCATCTGTTGAGTACAAACAAAGCATTTGATGTCAACAGTGTACAATCTGATATACAGTGTCTGCTGACATCTAGTGGTCATACAGTGCATTGCAAAGTTATTAATAACTGTTTTTTTCCCCACCTCAGGGCCACACAGTAATCAGGTCTGCTGTCAATGCATCTTTGCCCCCAATGATGATGTCACAACGGGTTATTGCACCCAATCCTGCCCAGCTTCAGGGTCAGAGAATGCCCTCCAAGCTGGGCATGGGCCGCTCCTCCACAGGTGGTTTGGGTAACACAATAAGCTATCAGCAGGTACAGTCAAGTTCAAAGCCATTAGCCCTAACTTGTTTTGTGGGTTTTCTCCATGCAATTTATTGACATTTTTTCCTAAAGTTCATGTTTGTTTAATCTGTTTATTACTGGCTTATTTCAAACTACTGTATTCATGAACTAGTGCTGGGCGATATAGCAAAATATATGTTTTCGGTCTTTTGACAAAATATATGTTCATATGTTTAATAGTAAGATTTTTTAAGGTTGTAAGGTTTTTTTTGATCCACTGAAGACTTAAGTAATGGCTGCTGAAAATTCAGCTTTGCCATCACTGGAATAAATTGTATTTAAAAAAACGACTACAATTTAAAACAGTAACTTTAAGTTGTAGTAATATTTTACAATATTACTGTTTTTACTGTATTTTTTAAACAAATATAATCAGCATTGGGAAGCATCTTACAGACACCAAACTTTTGAATGGTAGTGTGTGTATGTGTATATATCTCAGTATTTATATATTTGTCTGAATATATACAGTTGTGCTCAAAATTATTCATACCCTTGGTAAATTTGATCAAAGAAGGCTATGAAAACTAATCCGTATCATCAATCCTTTAGATATTTTATTTAAAAAATTTACTAAAATCTAACCTTTCATTGGAGAATAAAAATTTAAAATGGGAGAGAAATCTTAGAGAAAATGTTTTTCTCTAATACACATTGGTCACAATTAATCATACCCTTTTATCCAATACTTTTTGCAACCTCCTTTTGCCAAGAGAACAGCTCCGAGTCTTCACCTATAATGCCTGAAGAGTTTAGAGAACATCTGACAGGAGATCAGAGACCATTCCTTCATACAGAATCTCTCCAGATTTTCAGCTGCATGTTGCTGCTTCTCTTCAGTTCATCACACTCATTTAATATAGGGTTCAGCTCAGGGAACTGGGTTGGCCAGGGCAGAAGCTTGGTTTTGTTCTCAGTGACCCATTTTTGTTTTGATTTTGATGTTTGTTTGTGGATCATTGTCCCGTTGGAAGATCCAACCATGGCCCATATAAAGTCTGAAGAGTTTAGAGAACATCTGACAGGAGATCAGAGACCATTCCTTCATACAGAATCTCTCCAGATTTTCAGCTGCATGTTGCTGCTTCTCTTCAGTTCATCACACTCATTTAATATAGGGTTCAGCTCAGGGAACTGGGTTGGCCAGGGCAGAAGCTTGGTTTTGTTCTCAGTGACCCATTTTTGTTTTGATTTTGATGTTTGCTTGTTTATCATTGTCCTGTTGGAAGATCCAACCATGGCCCATTATAAGATTTCTAGCATGGACAGTCAGTTTTTAATTTTT